TCCGATAGCTTGCTCTTATTCTTCTTGTTGTTATTATTATTATTATTGTTGTTCTTATTATTGTTATTATTCTTTTGTGTTTCTTCTTCTTCTTGTTTTTGTTCTTTTGTTCGTCTTCTTCTTCTTCTTCTTCGTGTTCTTGCTGCTGCTGCTGTTGTTGGTGTTGGTGTTGTGGTTGTGGTTGTTGTTCTTGTTGTTGTTCTTGTTGTTGTTCTTGTTGTTCTTGTTGTTGTTACCCGAAGCATAACAAAGCTTGGCAGTGGAAGAACAACTTCTGGGCACCTCAGACCGGGTGGCATTACCTAAACTGCAAAGGAGATCAAAGGAGTCAAACATAATCAGTACCTGTATGACCTATATGATCTATAGGTTTTCCCCGCTTTGTTAAACATCCGCCTCTTCACAAAGAATCTAAGGCATCTGCTGCACGGCCGGTCTTGTTCAGCAAGACGCAGGTGGTCTTAGCATCTTCGGAGCTTTGGGGTGCAGCCAGTCTTGCGGAAAACAGAAAAGATCCTGGAGTCCTGCAGATCCCCTAATAGAGAAACACATAGAAAAAACATTGGATGCGATGAGAAGGATCAAGGGGTCTCCACTTTTTGACTCTTTTGGCTCATGTTATGTATACATATTCCGTCTTGTTTGAGATCCTTTACATAAGAGGATTTCTATGGATTTCTGGCCTTGACCTGAGCCAACCTAGCCCTTCCTCGCATTTGCTTGAGACCTAAACGCACGAAATACACGGGAAACCGCGAAACCCGGCGAAACCCAAGAAATTCCAAGAGAAGGACTTTGCCCTCCGGCCCAGCCCGCCTGGAGCTCCCAATCCAACTTCAACACATGGACGCCCGGCCCCACTTGGGAATTCATAGCCAGCCACCGACATCTTGCGTCACCTCTTGTCAAATCCAAGAATATCTGTCACCCTACTACAGTAGCCGAAGGTTCGGAGCGAGCTATTTCTTGGAACATGTTGCAGGGGTGAGTCCACTCTTTGGCCGAGCTGCCAGTAGTTGCCAGGGCTTTTCTGCCAGAAGCTCCTCAATGAGGCCAAAGGGGCTCTGAAGCACCTCAGTCCGTGTGGGCCCACATGCACGGCCAAGTGCAGGCTGGCTGCGTGAGCTAAGATGCTTGGACTCATCACTGGATGCCTCGGAGATCTTTTGATTCAGGAGTTCAATGGCTGAAACAAGCCGCAACTTCAGGTTTTCCGGATGTCTTTTCTGGCCGGCTCCAAAGTTGAACACGTCTCCCATCCTTCACCGCATGGGCCTTTTTCCTCCTTCGGGCTCCAGCTCCAGTGGCAACAACTTTCGGTTCCGCCGGCTATCAATCAGCTGCCGCAGGGCATCGGCCTGGGGTGCTGATGGGCCACTGGCCGCGGCGTGGTGAAGGATGATGATGATGATGATGATGATGATGATGATGATGATGATGATGAGGATGACGATGATGATGATGATGATGATGATGACGATGATGAAGCTTTACATGTAGCAAAACAGTCTTTTGAATCTCTGAAGGCAAATCAACCGCTACCATAATCCTTGGAAGGAATTGTGAGTCAGGTCAAAAATGCAAACGCCGTGGCGCACACTCAATCTGTAAACCTCATGAAAACTCCTCAAAACACAATCCTCTGCTGTTGCAAGTGCCTTATATACCTCACCTTTCTTGGCTGGGTCAATCACAAATCAAGTTCTAAAAATTTCTACCCATCCCATGAGTTCAAAGACCTTAAATTAAGGCTGGGATTCCACAAAAACACACTTCGGGCGCCCCCAAAAACGACACAAAAGAAAACGCCTCCGGATCCCCAGTGGAACTCCCTATTCCGTCTGGAGCCAGGCCTGCTCCGTCGTCAGCTGCCGCCGTTCCACCCCGTGGAGCCCTCGCAGCCGCAGCTGAGCGGCGTCGGCGTCGTAATCGCCTGCTTCGGAATCGCCGGGGTCAAGGTGTTGTAGTGTCGTGTTCATCTCTATATGATAAGTTGTACTTCAGAATCATTTGCTGAAGTGGTACTGGAGAAGGCCAAGCTGTCGTTGCAGGCAAGCCCTTGCTTCTTCAGAAATCGTTGTGGCTGGGTCCCACATTCTTTCTTAACGCAAAAGAAAGGTTTAAAAAGGAACGCCTGGCCTTCTTCCCGGAAGAGGCGGCTGGCAAGCCGCCAGGTCATTTCCGCCTCCTCATGAAACAACTCTCATCGGACATTGAGCCTGAACGAACGCCAGTTGGACTAAAATACTTCTGTAGATTCAATCACACTCCAAGCATCTTCAAGCCGTTTGTGGATTCCCTATTTTGTCAGTATGCATTCCCTATATCATCCCCTCAAGGTTCCTATGCTTCGGTTGGTCGAAGCTTGGATGCACTCCAAGCCCGAGGAACACATACGGGCAGTCTTGGTCGGCCACCAAGTGATGCCAAATTGTTTTGATGAAACGACTAAAATTACTTTCTGACAGCAATACAAGGGTGAATTGGTTTGGCATGCCCCAAACTGGCATCTGCCATCATAAAACCTGGATTCTGACATATATTCTGATTGGATCCTGAATCTCACGAACTGTCGCGGTCCCACCTGTCATTACGCATGACCAACCCGAGCAGTTTTTCTGCAGATCAAACTGGAATACTGTATATATCTCCATAGAAGTCCTCCTCCCCACGGTCCTCGTCTCCGACTTCATGGAGAACCTCACGCCCGTCAGGAGAGTCAAGAAAACCACTCACGGCACAACGCACGGGTCAGCCAGCAGGGCACCCATTTGACTATTTTGCCGCGTTGATACTTCAGCATCTTGCGCCCCTTGAATCAAAAACACATGAATGATATAGGAACTTCCAAAGAGCAACATAAACAAAGGTTCAATAGTGTGATTCCGTACGCATCGTACGGCTCAACATGAAAGACCTTCTCAAACACGGGTGTGCAGCACGGCGAGACCGGAGATTAGCTCTACTCTTCAGCCCTGGGCTCTCTGGGTTCCCTTGCATGTGCTTTCCGCGCACCAAAGTAGGAGGGTGTCCAATCCATCCGTGCCACAGTGGTGGTGCCACCGTGGAGCCGCAGGTTGCACGTGAAGATCAGTTTGCTCATGGCCTCATGGCGCTAGGTGGTTGCATGAAACCACCCAGCAAGGAGGAAGGATCCGTACGACACCTGAACAAGGAGTGGATCAAAAGCAGGCACTTGAGCTCCGACATGACACCTATTGCATGTTCATGAACCTCCTACGGGTGTTGCTTTTGATTCGTTTGATTGGTTTGATTGATGGCGGTGACAGAACTCGTTGAAAAGCAAGACAGTCCGAACCTGCGACTCACCACTGGCGACAAAACTCTAAGGACGGACGGCGAGTGCTGAAGATATGGACAATTCTCTCAATTCTCTCAAGCCTCCAGGGTGCTTTATTTATCTTTATTCCTCATTCGTCACTTGTCTCATTGTAGTTGTTGTAGTTATAGGTAGGTTCAACCCAGGATATCCCAGGATCATCGGATCATCTTCGGAATCACCCAAGCAGAGCAGTGTTGCCTTCGGTGTCCCGGTCGGTCCAGTGGATTCCGCTCTGCGGACCTGGACGCCTGGTTCACTTCCAACTCCAGCTCCACAGGGCCGCCAGGTGGAGCAAAGCGCACGGGTGCTGGGAACAACCTCTCAACCGGTGGACAGAAGAGATGAATGCTGACATTGAACTCTGAATTGCCAGCAAATTCTCACAGTCTTCAACTTCAACGGCCTGGTGCCGGGAATTTGAAGCATGCATTTTTGGGCCATTTTGGACCGATGGGGGAGGTCATCTACACGATCTTTTTGACCCACCCTGGCGCTCCGACTGCAGCTTTCGCCGCCTCCACACGGCCATCCATCGTTGCGAGAGCTGCCGCAGCTGGACCTCGGCGAAGTCGGTCCTTTTTCGGAGTGGCGAAACGGTGTGGACGCTGTGGCCCGAGTAACGGTGCACAGTGAACATGGGATGTTGCCCGAGTAGCAGTCTGCGCAGATGTCCTCTCTCACGAAGACGATGCACCACTCTAGAACACTGGCGGTTTTGGGGGGAAGAAGTCGTCATCCCTGTGATCATGTCAGTTTCCAAGACCCGGATATGATAGCCAAAGAGATCCAAAGAGGTTGTAAGTCGCGCCGTGACTTTGAAATGTTGGATTCTGGATGCCCCCCATCCCAAATGGTCGAACCTGCCATCTTCCCAACCGTGACATGGGTTTGGGTGAACGAGGGTTCCCAGGACACAGCAGGGAGGAGTCTGACAAGTGAAAACACCACACACAAATGACAAAACATCTTTCGCGCTGATTCCTCGCCTTTCGTTGAATCAAATGTCACAAACAAAAGGGGGAACCCTTCACAAAACAACGACATGGAAGAAAAACGGAATTGGGCCGGAAGCTTGGACCAGAATCTGATGGGCGGAAGCTTGCACCGGAAAACCATTGACCACTCAGCTGTGGTGGGACACCCACCGATCCACTGACTCCGACGGACCCTGGACTCGATCGCCCCCCGGAAACCCCGTGCGTCTCACGCTGAGGCGTCTCACGCGGCGGGTGGACATCCTGGGATGCAAGTTGAGATGATGACCAATCAAGAATGCCCAAAGGGTTCACCAGGACCCAAACGCACAGGGTTTATTGTAGAATTGTAGAACCTCGATCTGCTGTAATACTTGCCAGAAGTTTCTATGATTGTTCTGCGTGACCGAATCTTTTCATGAGCCTCATTCATCTGCGTTCTGGATGAAACCTCCATTTTGTGTTGAAACCAGGATCCCCAACTTGCTCTCGCGGTGTCTCTTCGGTGCAGCCCAGGCTTCTCCAGCACACAGCGGAGGATCTCATCATCGCAGCCAGTGGTCAAGAAAGGAATCTCCATGGCAGGGCCATTTGAATGCGACTTGCGGATGATTTTGAAGCAGTTCATTGAAACCAAAGTGCCATGGTCAAGACTTTTGATTCTGGATTTCTGTCCCACTTCTTTCATATTTTTTGGGGTCTCTCTCACTGAACACATAATATCCCGGATTGGGGCAAAAATTGAACATAACTCAACCATCCACAGCTTGTGGGGACACAGCTTCAGCCTCCATTGCAGCAATAAATCATACTGCTACCAGTTACTGGGCCATCAAACATTGTAACTACACTTCTAACTGGGCTTTGGGCCTTGCAGGCCGCAAATGTTGAAACAAATAGAAACAAACTTGCAAATGCCCATCAACTGATCCATCCACAGCACACCAAAAGAGTGAGTTCAGTTGTGTGTGGAAGTATGACGCCATCCTACATTCTTGGATGTTCTATGATGTTCTCAAAGTTTGTGAAGTGGCTTGAAACTGGGCTGCATCAGTTTAGATGGCAATACAACTATATCGTAGAGAACGTGGCTACAGTCCAGGCAGGCAACTCATGAACGCATTTAAAAACCTGTTTATCTCTTTTCCGATTGGTTTGGACACTTCTGGTCGAATGTGCAAACCATTCCTTGCCGTCTGTGCTATCTCACATCATACTCTTGAATGCCCTGTTGGCAAAGGGGACACAGTGCGTTCCGTCCAATGATCTGAAGGATGCACTGCTCACAGAACTCCCAATGTCCACAAGGTCTCAAAATGATATTTGGAGGACTATTTCGGCAAATGCAACATTCTAAGTCTACTGTTCTACTTGCTGTCCGCAATCTCAGTCGTCTGCCTCCCCTAGCGAGAATGGCAATGTCACCGCGCTGGACTGTGCAACTCCACTTTGCAAACGGGTGGGACTGGGAGACCGTGAGCTCAAAATCTGTGTCAAAGCTGTCAGCCACCGTTGGAGGGTTCAGTTGCGCGGCCATGTTGCTTGCGATGTCCACTGACATGACGCCAATACCGATGAAAGCACGCCATCGATAGAACTTATCAGTCAGGGTACTGTCTTTAATTTGCAAAGAAGCTGTGATGGCCTGATCAGATCGGTTGTAAACTGTAATAGGGACCAGCTGTGCATTCCGTGCCTTTTTGGCATAAATATCTTCCCTGACACCATAGGCAATGCCGGTGGCAGCTGCTCCAGC